TTTTTTGAGACACAGCCTCAAGTTATTCCCCTGGGTAGAGTGCTCTAGCTTCACAGCTCACAGCAACCTCCAACTCCTGGGCTCAAGAGAGTCTCCTGCCTCCGCCTCCCAAGTAGCTGGGACCACAGGTGCCCGCCACAACACCCGGCTATTTTTTTGGTTGCAGCCATCATTGTTGTTTGGCAGGGCCGGGCTGGATTTGAACCCACCACCTTAGGTGTATGTGGCTGGCGCCTTAGCCGCTTGAGCCACAGGCGCCGAGCCTTCATATACATTTTGAAATAGAGTCTCACTTTGTTGCCCTCAGTAGAGTGCCTTGGCATCACAGCTCACAACAACCTCAAACTCTTGGGCTCGAGCGATTCTCTTGCCTCACTCACCCTCCCAAGCAACTGAGACTACAGGCGCCCACCACAACACCTGGCTATTTAGAGATGAGGTCTCACTGTGGCTCAGGCTAGTCTTGAACCCATGAGCTTAGAGAATGCAGCCTCCTCAGCCTCCCAGATTGCTAGGATTACAGGTATGAGTCATTAAAAACACTGTTTTTTTTGTTTTGTAGTTTTTGGCCAGGCCAGGTTTGAACCTGCCACCTCCAGTATATGGGGCTGGCGCCCTACTCCTTGAGCCACAGGTGCCACCCCGTAAAAACACTGTTATTTTAACATATGACGGGTCATGAGTTAACATAGTAACAAGGATAGATTCTGCATAAAATTGCCAGTTAACAACACGTTAAGATGTTAGAGTCACTAAGTGATTCTATGTTATAAGCAGCTGAGAGAGAAGGGAAAAAGAATCAAACAGGCTGAATTTGGGTCAACTGGGAGTTGAGAGGAGGAGAAATGAAACTGGGAACAGTTGCTATGTTAAAAGGAATGAATAAGTGATGCTCTATTATGCTGATGAGAGGTCTCAGGCTAGGACAGCAGAAACAAAAGCTCTATTTGAAAGGAAGAGAAGAGGCTGAAACCTTAAAAAAAAAAAAAAAAAAGAAAGAAAGAAAGACAGAAAGAAACTTCAAACAGCATCTGGGAGTAGGCATCTCACGGCTTTAACTCCCACAGGTTTCAAGCTGTGTTTCCTAATGTTTGCTAAGCGCTGTCCGGGATATAAACGGTGTAGTTTGTGCCTGGAAGAAGACAGACTTGGCACAGTTGGCGACTCTTACCTCTTCTGCGCCCTGGAGAAAGCAATCAATCAAACAAACAAAAACCAACAGGTGAAGCTTTGAGTCCCAAAGCCAAAGTTTATTGGTTCTTGAGGTTTCCCTTCTGTGTTACATTTGCACTTTGTTGGAAAAGAAAAACTTGAACACCATGAAAAATTAAAAATAAAAGTAACTGATAGCCCAGTGGAGTAGCTCAAACCTCTAGTCTCAGTTACTCAGGAGGGTGAGGAGGGATTGCTTGAGCCTAGGAATTGAAGACCAGCCTGGGTAATTTAGCGAGATCTCATCTCTAAAAAAATATGAAAGAAAGTGTAGTGTGGTAAGTACATAAGCCAGTAATAGGTATTTATTATCATTACCAGGTATAGTTAAGTCCTCACTAAATAAGTGAAATTATGTATACAATGAAACCAAAATTGCCACAGGCTAATTGGTATAAGCACTTATGTTCATATGGCATTTTTCTGGTCAGAAAAATATCATGAAACGTCTAAATATAGACTAAAAACACTTCTAATATTAAACACA